AAAAAATAAATCATAACTAAATTTATGCTATTTTTAAGCTAAAATTGTTACACGAACTCTACAGCTTAAGGGATATACTATTATTATACTTTACTAATATGATACTTTACATTAAATGCCCCTTCTAGAACTTACTATTTCTAGTCTATCTTTGAAATAAACCTAACAGAGTGATGAATGTCTTACACATTTATTTATCTGCATGTTTTGTAATATTTTTTTTAATTAGTATCTATTATACTATTATTATCTAAATTTGTATCTTAAGCTACTTTTTAGAATACTGCTATAATCCAATCTATATCTTAAACTTTTTAAACCTTCCTAATTAGTTATCTATTACTTACTTCTGCCTTTATTAGGTTCATAACTAGTTCTGATACTTACTTCTTTTTAATATATAAGTTTAGCTCCAGAGACATTTTTGCTTTCAATTTAATTAGCCCAGAAGGGTTTTCTCCACTGATAGCCAGGTTGGTGTAATCTAGCTCATAGAGATTATAATTATTAAACCTTTGGTTGAGTTCTTAATATAGTTTTCTATTTTATAGTATTGTTAAAAGTTAGCTACTACTTCTAATTCAAGACTTTTCAAATAGGTTTTCTGTAAGCGAAAAAGGTCTCTAAGATTTACACAATCTTGAACTTATCAAGTATTTGCACTGCCTTAAAAAATATAAAACCAAGAAGTTAGAGCTTGAAGAAAGCTTTAAAAAACTAAAGTACAAAGAGGTTATTAATATTCAGTATAAGATTTAAGAATCTTAAAAAGCTCTCTTTATTAATAATTCAAGGCTAAAATAAAACAATTACAGGTTTTGTATACCAATTTCGGACATTATAGCAATCAAAATTCGGACATTATAGCAATTAAATTCGGACATAGTAGCAATCAAATTCAGATATAGTAGCAATCAAATTCAAACATAATAGCAATCAAATTCAGACATCTTAGCAATCAAATTCAGACATCTTAGCAATCAAATTCAGACAGTGATATCTCATGATCTAGTGGACCAAACCACATAATCTTGGTACCATTCAACTAGTCTTGTTAAGATGAGTCAAATGGTACTAACATCGTGTGATTTGGACCACTAGATCACGAGATATCGCTGTCTGAATTTGATTGCTAAGATGTTCAAATTTGATTGCTAAAATGTCCAAATTTGATTGCTACTATGTTCGAACTTGATTGCTACTATGTCTAAATTTGATTGCTACTATGTTTGAATTTAATTGCTATAATGTCCGAATTTGATTGCTATAATGTTCGAAATTGGTATACAAAACCTGTAAGAGATAGTTTTTTTTAAAAAAATCAAAATTACTAGATTAAGCATTATAAAATTATATATTAATATATTTGTAGTTTTATTTTTACACATAATAGCAAATTATAAAAGCTTTGATAATTCAAGTAGCTAACTTTTTTTAACTTTAGTTATAAAATCAACAAGTATAATTAGTACTTATTTATATTACCTTAAATTCTCAAAATAGCAGACAAGGATGTTATTTTGAAAATTGTGCCCTCTAAAAATAGTATAAGTGGTTTTGAAATAACATCTATGCATGTTCCAAAATAGTGTGCATCTTGAAAAAAAAGTATCAGGTAAATATCAGAATAAAAGCTCCTCAATATATACCTAATTTTAGCATGTCAGTAGCATATCAGAAGTCTTATATCTGATATTTATCTGATACTTAGAATTAATACTTTATCTTGAAATAACAGCCATGAGCATATTTAAAATAATATGCATGTAGTCAAAATAGCATGCAAATGCTTGCTATTTCGAAAATTTATAGTATATATCTATCTATAATAGTTATAAATATTAAAACATTAGCTTTTATTTTTTTATTAATAATAAAGAATATAGTAGTATTAAAAATAGTTAGATATTTTAAATACTAATAGAAACCTCAATACTTTTTTATTAATCAAAATAGTATAGAAGCCAATACTGTTAAAATAGCATTTCTGGATCTTCAAGTAGATAAACAAAAATATAATATTTTTACTACACTGTTTATATTATGTTTTTTTTTTATTTTTTTAAAGTAAAATTATACCTTATAACTTTTTTAATATATATATTTTTAACAAGTATTTAAAACTTAGACCGATTTTAGCTACTACAGTATGTATTGCTAATTCTTGATAACAAATACTCTTGTATACTGGTAAATTTGAAAAAAATATAAAAATAATTATAATATAGTTACTTCCAACAGTATCTTTTATGAAATAGCTCTTCAAAATTGTTCAAGTATCTTTTTAGATATATTTAATATTTCTAGCGTTTTAATATTTTTAGATTATAAAGTATTAGAAGTATGAATCTAATTAGAATTTGTATACTATAACACTTCTAAATTAGTTATTTAATGTTTCAGTATTGATCAACTTTAAAACTTTAACCAAAAAATTATTAAATACTAAAAAATATATATTTAAAATTTAAAGAAAGATTTACAGTGTATTTTTATTTTTATATAAATTTAATTTAAATGATTTTTTTGCATAAATTTACATATAAAATTAGGTGTGTCAACTTCTTTAATTTATTAATAACAACAATTTAAGCCTATTAAAAAAAACATGTTCTATGACTGTTAAGAATCTTAAATTTTAAAGCTTAAATAGAATTGACAACAATGATATTTAAGCCTATTATCAGAAAGTATAAAATCCTGTCATTTAATTAATAAACAACTTAATAAATGGACTTGATAACTGAACCATATAAATATAATATTAATGACATTTGTATTTAAAACGACTAAAGCATTTATTAGCATTAGAGGCTAAATATAGTACAGTAATGAAATTTTTTTTTTTTACTTCTAACCTTATTTAAATGAGATAAACACCAACTTTCGGCTATAATGCGTATAACAATAATATATTAAAAATATTTAATAAATCTAAATTATTTTGAAAGGATCATCTAATGTTTGTTAAACACAAATAAAAATTAATATTTATAACAGATATATAGATAGATATATAACTTTTATCGATAAATAACAATATTAGCATACCTGAATTGTCCATATAATTAGAAATTTGGGGCAAATTAGTTTCGAATTGTTTGTTTATTCCATGAGAATTGTTTATGTCAATATTCATTGAATCTGAGAAATTTTGATTTATTTCACAATTTTCATGGGCAAAATTCGTAAAATTAGAAATTTGGCTCAAATTAGTTTCAGATTGTTTATTTATTTCATGCAAATTGCCTATATTTATATTCATTTTATCAGAATATAAGAATTTCTCGTTTATTTCAAAATCTCCATCGGTAAAATTCAGATTTATTTCATAATTAGCTGTTTTGGAAAATTTTAATAAAATACAGTACCACCGATAAATTTCTGAATTGATTTCTTCAGCATTTGGTCGTTCTTTTGGATCTGAGCTCATGCATTTTTTAGCCATTGTGACATAACAATCAGGAGCAGGAGTTTCGGGAGTGAATTCAAGTTGTAATCCATCACAAATCTTATTAAGATAAAGAAAATCATATGAAATGTTATTAAAGGGTCTTTTTCCGGCTGCCATTTCCCATAAAATACCACCAAAACCATAAATATCAGCAGCTTGTGTATATTTATTTCTTTTCAAAACTTCAGGAGCAATATAAGGCAACACACCAAATAAATTTGAGTTTCCAATCTGTTTTTCTCGATAATCCTAGATCTGTTATAAGAATATATTTCATCGTCAAGATTCTTATTTAACAAAATATTTCCACTATGAAAATCTCTATGAATATAATTCGCTTTGTGAATTTTTCTAAGTCATATGAGATAAATACAAGATGCTTTAATTTATCTTGCCATGTAAATACTCTAAAATTATGTTCTAAAAATTCATGAAGATTTCCTTTATTAGCATATTGAAATACCATATAATATTCATTAGTTTCTGTATTTCGAGTCAATCCATATGTCTTAAGCCCGATACCTTTTAATCTACATTCCATATTATTTTTAAATTCCTGTAAAAATACCGAAATATTAGAGTCATGTAATGATTTGAGTGCAACAATACATGATTTATTTCGTGATCTCTTGTAGCCTGTTATAGCATTTCCCTGGATTTCTGGTGCACCATCTAACCATGTCGCTGAAAAAACGGTTCCAAACCCCCCTTTTCCAACTTTTTTAATATTTATAAGGCTATTGAAAGGAATCCATTCAATTGCATCTCTAAAAGATGTGGCCTTACGTTGGAAATTTTTAATGCAATAATCAACATCCTCATCTCCACTTGTCCATCCTTTAGTTATTAATTCAGGATCACACGTTTGACACCAGGCTCGAGATGTATTGATCTTTTTGCATTGTGCACATTTTCCATATACGAAGCCCCATAAATAGTGTTGATAGTTATCCTTCAACTCCACATCTAACAAATCCAATACACACGAAGAAAGCGTACTCTCTGCTTCTGTAGAATCACGCAAAAAGACAATATCAAGCATATCACGCTTTTCTATGTCTTCTGAAACTTTATTTAGTCTTTTTACTTTTTCTAAATATTTATCTAGAGGTAATGAGTCCAAAACATGTTTATTACGTCCACGTAAATAGGCACTATTAATAATATAAAAAATTTTTTTAATTCCTTCATCAAACGCATTTAAGTCGATCATCCAGATTATAATATTTATAATCTCATCCCATTTTATTTCCTCAAACCATTTATTGTAAAATACTTTAGCAAAGTAATCCCACATCAATTCCACGCGTTTTATGATGGTCATTTTCATAAATTCTTGAATTTTAAGATCAGTAGTCATTCCTGTTGTTATCAATATCAGAGATATGCTAGTATTAACAACAAAAGCTTTTAACATTCTGGAAAAAGCAGGAAATATTATGTATTCGTTAAGAAATGATAAAGTAGTGAATTTTAGAGCAATAAATATTATAGTTATCAGAATGATTTTTAGAAAAATCATTTGTGTAGATTTAGGAAATTTAAAATCATAAATAAATAAAGAAAATTACTACATAATATTTCCTGCTTTTTCCAGAATGTTAAAAGCTTTTGTTGTTAATACTAGCATATCTCTGA